TATAATATAATATAATATAATATAATATAATATAATATAATATAATATAATAATATAATATAATATAATAATATAATATAATATAATATAATATAATATATAAAATAAATATTATAGATAGATAAATAAATAAGAAAACCAAAAGCACCAAAATAGCTTCTTCTTGCCCCGTCTTTCTCGCTCATAGCGTCACCAGAGCGAATCGGAAGAAGGCAATACAGAAAGACGCGCAAAGAAGACAAAGCCGCCGGCATTGTAAATCTCACGCGTTGCCCGCGGCGCATGCGCCCCTGGGTGTGGGTCAGTGCCTTATCTCCTCCGCTTCCTGCCGGCCCCCGGGGCAGCTCGGTGGAGTCGGCGCTTTGCAAAAACCGGCCACAGGTGAGGAGAGGCGGGAGGGTCGGCTGGGCGGGGCTGCGCTCCCGGTTTAAAAGAGGCGCCGAAGGAGCCTCCGCCCTCTTCTTCCCTCCCCGCCTGGCGAAGCGCCCCTTGCTTTTTTGGGCTGCCCTGCGCTAAGCTGGTTCCGACTGTTTTCTTGCCTGCAAGCAGTCGGGAAGTGGGAGGGAGGGGGTGCCTTCACAGACTGTGGCAGCTGCACACACACACACACACACACACACACCACCACCCCCGTTTCTCTTCGGTGACTTCCTGCAGAAAGAACGGGCTGGCCTCTTTTTCTCCTATCCTGTCACGCATGTAAGTGGAGGAATAGCGGAAACGTCTGGCTCTGGCGTATAATGGGAAAAGCGAGGAGGAAGGAGGGGAGGAGGATCCGTTTGGCTGCAGTTTTGGGAAATAAACATCGCACGCCTCGGGCTCTTCCGGGTTGGCTCGAGTCTTCGGGGAGGGGTGGAAATCTTGGTGGGGAATCAGGAGGTCCGGGACACGGGCACCAGCTGGGTTTTCTTTTTAAAAAAATCCAAGATTTCGTTCTCAAGTAAAGCCAGATTCTACACAAAAGACCCAGATTTTTTTTTAAAAAAAACAAAACCCCACAATAAATCAGTTTTGAACTAAATTATTTTACCTATTTAATACGTATTATATAATGTAAACAGAGAACAGGTTACAGTTTTAAAGTTAAAAAACAAAACCTAGAAACCCAGACAGGCATTGAAAACCTCAGATCCGGGTTTAAAAAAAAACCAGCATTGGCAACCCTGCCCCGGAGCCACGAACTGCGACTGGGGCTCCTTCCCTGAACTTTACGAGGGAGTGGAACGTCTGTGAACTGAGAAAAAAGATCGCATCGTGATTAATAGCTTGTTCAGAAATCTAAGGAAGAACATATGTGTTTATATGTTTCCTGGACTTGCTTTCCTATATAAGCAAGGGTAGTATGCTGGGATTGATGTGAGTTACTGAATGAGAAATACACCTCTCATCAACAGTGTTGTACCTTATGATTCTTGACGAATGTTTCTTTTCTTTTATGTATACCGAGAGCATCTATTCTGTTCTATTAGAATTCTATTCTATTCTATCTTCTAAGCACAAGCCTTACTTGCTATAGTACGATAACTTTCTGAAAGGGAAAAAAACTCCTGCAAGGTTTTTTGCTGATGTCCTGATGCATTTATTTGTGCATCCTGAGTTTGGAGCATCTCATACTTCATCCCTTCAAATAATTAAATGAGACTTAAACTTAAGGGGCTCAATTGTTTAATATGCTGGTACGTTTTATTAATGTTACTTTGCACAATATTTGCAGATTGTGAATGTGCTGAGAAATTATTTCTGACTCATGCTAAGCATTCGGAAACCTCTAGTATTGATCCTCTATTCTGTTATGTCTAGCTTTTTTATATTCGTATTTATCTATTTTGTTCTTTAATGCTTTTGTAATAGGTTTATTATGACTTATATTAGCACTTAAGATGCTGGAAAGATTCAATAGTGTTAAGAGATTTATGTAGGACTGTAATGCTTTTTAGAATGTAGCTTGAAAAAATGCTGGTACCAAGAAGGTCTATGAGAATAATGCATTGATAGTTATGAGTTCCTGTTTTCCTGCAAGTGATACAAGCAGCCTTGCTCTTTTTTCAGATAATTGTATATACATGCAGCAAATATAAGGAAAAAATTAAGCCCCAGAATAAATTGGGGGAAAAATACACTGCTCAAAAAAATAAAGGGAACACTTAAACAACACAATGTAACTCCAAGTCAATCCCACTTCTGTGAAATCATACTGTCCACTTAGGTAGCAACACTGATTGACAATTCCACATGCTGTTGTGCAAATGGAATAGACAACAGGTGGCAAGCATAGGCAGTTAGCAAGACATCCCCAATAAAGGAGTGGTTCTGCAGGTGATGACCACAGATCACTTCTCAGTTTCTATGCTTTCTGGCTCATGGTTCACTTTTGAATGCTGGCAGTGCTTTCACTCTAGTGGTAGCATGAGACGGAGTCTACAACCCACACAAGTGGCTCAGGTAGTGCAGCTCATCCAGGATGGCAGATCAATGCGAGCTGTGGCAAGAAGGTTTTCTGTGTCTGTCAGCATAGTGTCCAGAGCATGGAGGCGCTACCAGGAGACAGGCCAGTACATCAGGAGACATGGAGGAGGCTGTAGGAGGGCAACAACCCAGCATCAGGACTGCTACCTCTGCCTTTGTGTAAGGAGGGACAGGAGGAGCACTGCCAGAGCCCTGCAAAATGACCTCCAGCTGGCCACAAATGTGCATGTGGCTGCTCAAATGGTCAGAAACAGACTCCATGAGGGTGGTATGAGGGCCCGATGTCCACAGGTGGGGGTTGTGCTTACAGCCCAACACCATACAGGACATTTGGCATTTGCCAGAGAACACCAAGATTGGCAAATTCGCCACTGCCGCCCTATTCTCTTCACAGATGAAAGCAGGTTTGCACTGAGCACATGTGACAGAGGTGACAGGGTCTGGAGATGCCGTGGAGAACCTTCTGCTGCCTGCAACCATGACTGGTTTGGCAGTGGGTCAGTAATGGTGTGGGGTGGCATTTCTTTAGGGGGCCTCACAGCCCTCCATGTGCTCTCCAGATGTAGCCTGACTGCCATTAGTACCAAGATGAGGTCCTCAGACCCCTTGTAAGACCATATGCTGGTGCGGTTGGCCCTGGGTTCCTCCTAATGCAAGACAATGCTAGACCTCATGTGGCTGGAGTGTGTCAACAGTTCCTGCAAGATGAAGGCATTGATGCTATGGACTGGCCCGCCCGTTCCCCAGACCTGAATCCAATTGAGCGCATCTGGGACATGTCTCGCTCCATCCACCAATGCCAGGTTGCACCACAGACTGTCCAGGAGTTGGGAGATACTTTAGTCCACGTGTGGGAAGAGATCCTCAGGAGACCATCCGCCACCTCATCAGGAGCATGTCCAGGCGTTGTAGGGAGGTCATACAGGCACGTGGAGGCCACACACACTACTGAGCCTCATTTTGACTTGTTTTAAGGACATTACATCCAAGTTGGATCAGCCTGTAGTGTTTTTTTCCCCTTTAATTTTGAGTGTAGCTCCAAATCCAGACCTTCATGGGTTGCTAAATTTTATTTCCATTGATAATTTTTGTGTGATTTTGTTGTCAGCACATTCAACTATGTAATGAACAAAGTATTTACTAAGAATATTTCATTCATTCAGATCTAGGATGTCTTATTTTTGTGTTCCCTTTATTTTTTTGAGCAGTGTAAATTAGTTCAGGATGAATACTAAGGGAGTATTCATATATGGGAGCTTTCTCTGAGAGAGGGGTATTGTTAATAATAGGTTCTTGTAGTATTAGAGAAGGGTAATGATGTAAATTGGCCAAGAAATCTTCAGACCAGGAAAAAGGACCTAATTTAGAATACCTCTCCTCATCACACCCTACTCCTTCCACCTGTTGGGAAAAAAATTGTAACAATAGTTTTTGTTAAAAATCTTGGTGCTGTAAAAGAATCCTTGACCTTTTTTTCAGGGCAAGCAGAATAAACATGGATGCTACTTATCAAAATAAATGTCCTAATTTGTATTATTATTTGTAATCACACATATACAAGTATACTTTCTGACAAATTCATTGAGGTGTCATGTAGCATTACACAGCACTTTTGTCCTGGCAAAATTCCCAGTTATAATCCATTTCCTTTTGTGAGTAGTTTTCAGTGAATTTCCGGCAAGGCAGGGTGTGTGGCTACTTGTTTTCTTGTCTAGATCACAATGCTTCAGGAATTGAAGTTAAACACGAGGGAGGTGCCAAGTCAGTAGGATCAGGGAAGAGGATACAGTACTTGCATTTATCCAAACGGAATCAACATTTGGTCCAGATTTTTTGCCGGACAGCGAGTTTCATGCACTGTTCTACCACATTCACTGATTTTCTATAGCTTATACATTTAACATTTTTCCCATCAAATGGGGATATATTTAGAGTCATAGATATTGATGAGTAGTTGACAGTTACCTTGGTGAATTTATGTACCTATACTGTAATCACAAGGATATTGCGCCAATAATGCAAAATGTGATAGGCAAAACCTTTTCAGGCATGAGACTTTAACACTAGTGGCAAACAAAACAACAACAACAACAACAACAAAAAAGCAAGAGCCCAGCATTTGGCAGAAAGTGACCTGCAGCGATTTCCAAGGATAGAGATATTTCTGGGTCTCTCTTACAAACTTGGCAGTGCTCTCTAGTTTTGGGAGCTGCAACTTGGATTTATTATGTAGCTATTTAATACTTAATGTTTATATTAATATTTAATGCCATTTTGTATAACTTTTTGGTGTCGTACATTTTGAGTCTTCCTTAAAAAACAATTCTTTCCTTCCAAATTAAAAAAAAAATGTTTCCTTGAATTTCCAGTTTTCATGTCTTGTAAAAACGGATAGTAAAGTTATTTACACATTTATTTTAATTATTTTGCCCTTCCCTCTTTGGATCATCTCGCTAATAACATTTGGAGCAGCCCTAAGATCATCATGACACCCATGAAAGACCCCACCACAGAAATAGATTTTATTCATACTTGAATAAGAATGGATTCTCTTTTTCCCCCCCAGAGAATACTATAAGACATTTTAAATGACAGATAAAATAACATATTCATAACTCCAGCAAAGCTATGATGGAGGTCGGGAAATGGCCTATATTTACATTGCTTTCACCTCAAGAAATGGCAACAATTAAAAAAGCATGTGTATTTGGAACATCTGCCAATGAAGCTATATACATCACCCACAGCGATGAGGTAAGATTATGGTACTTACATAGGTGTGTTCACTTTCTTTGCCTATAACATTGTTTGAATATCTAGTGGGTAATATAAAAATAGCAAACTTTTGTTTTAAAATTGTAATAGCGTGCATGTACAATTAATATTTAAAACAAAAATTGCAGGGTTTAAAAAATATGAATATTGCAGTTTCTTTGTTACAGCTAAAATTAATATTTGTGACCTGCTGAAAAATAAAACTGAGCCTAGAGTACTTCCCACTGATCAAATATGTATTGCGTCTCTTGCCTCAGAAAAAAAAGATTTTATAAAAAAGGTCATAAATAGGATTCACTTCCTACTTTACTTTGGTTCTCTTTCAAATACCCTGTATATAATTACAGAACACATATTTTGTAATCCCAAAACAAAACCCTTTTTTTCAAGAAGAATGTCCTGTGCTCCTATCTACATGGAGGGCTTCATCAGGGAGTAGACAATAGGACTCCATTCTGAATCTGAAGCCAAGGGGAATCCAAGCAATGAATTCATCCCATGAAATCAGTCCAGGTTCTTAGTCTTTCTTTGCTGCACATCTCCATTTCTGCTTTTTTTTTTTTTTAAAGTACTGTAGCTGGGACATATCAAGAAGAAATTGGGCTTGGGAAGGCTGCTCTGTGGTTTTTACTTTTGAATTTCCTGTCTATGTAATTTACCGTATTTTTTGCGCTATAAAACGCTCCGGACTATAAGATGTACATTAGCAGGAGGAAAACTAGAAAAAAAAAATCTGCATCCTTGCAGCAAACAGCCTGGTCAGCTTCAGCACATTATTGCAGCCCCAGCACATGGCTCATCAGGGTTCCTCTCTGTTGCACCCACCACTGGTCAACTGAGCTGAGTTGCTGCCGCCGGCAGGGAACACTGGAGCCTTCGCTGCCAAGCAGCTGATTGACGGTTGGATCGGTCTTCTGGAATACTGCCGATCAGCTGTTCTAGACAGCAGGGATAGCCACCTCCACCTATTGCTGCCTGTTAGCCACCAGCCATTCGCTGCCTGCCCATTCATGGCTGCTGTTCGCTTCCGCTGCCGCCCAGCAGCAGCAAATGGGCAGCGGCAAATGGCAGCAGCAAATGGGCAGCAGTGGCAATCCCTGCCACCTAGAACACCTGATCTGTGGTATTCCACTACCAGTCAGCTGCAATATTTGCTCTATAAGATGTACCCACTTTTGCGGGGGAGGGGGGAGCGTGTCTTATAGTGCGAAAAATACGGTACTTGCATAGAGATTCAGTGCTTTGGATCTGCAAATGGCCCAATAGATTTAATGTTCTGGAAATTAATTTGATGCCTTCTATCCGAACGATCGGATATCCAAAAATTTCACATGAAATAACCGATTTCCTCACTTTCCATTCAGCAGAAATCTAGCAGGAAATCACAAGATGAAACTGCTGTGTTACATAAACCCTCTTTTGATCTCATTCCAGAACACAGTTGAGTTGCTTTGGTTTCTGAGTTGACTTGCCTTTTTGCAAAAATCCTAAAGTGTCATTGGTCCCCTAGCCTAGAAAACTAATGAAGGTCCACTAATGTCAATGGTTTTAAGCTTTGAGCCCCTGTTTAATGCTTGACTTGTGTGGCATTTCTTATTTAGAGGTGGGATGGAGGAGAGAAGTAGCTTGTTCTAAACAGCTCGATTCCAGGCATCCATGAAGTTTGAAGCAGACAGGAGGTCTAGAGAAAGATAGGCTTCGAACAAGGGAGAGTGATTCAGAGCATTTAAAAAGGTATGCATGCATGGAGGAACTCTAAAGAAGGAAGCTAGAGTCTGTTCAGGTTCGGGAGAATTGAGAAACACTAGAAAATTAATGACTTGGTAGAAGAAAAAAGGAGAGAAAGAGAAAATCCCAGTCCAAAACATGGATGTATCTTCAGCTGCCTTATTCGTTGCTATGGGAGAGTGGACCAATGCAAAGGTCTTTTTCTGTGCTTTTTCTTAAAGGCATCTTTAAATTTTGAATAATAGGCCAGGTATCGATAGGAAAAGGAGTGGAACAAAAAAGTGTCTAGTTTTATTTAGATGATAATTTAACACACTTAATATGATTGTTTTTTTAATAGAAAAGGTATTTTCCCTTTATTAAATAAGGAGATTATAAATGATGAAGTAAAATGTATATATGTATAACAAGGATAAGTTGGATGTATTGTGCTGTATTCTTATAATTAAAATTAAAAATAAATTTAAAAAAAAATCCCCCCAAAAAGATTACAGTTTTTAACAACTTGGGTTATTTATTTGAAAGCCAAATTTGGATATTATTGTGGCCAAACCTTCATACTGCACATTTTTATTGTCTTCCACCACCACATTTGGTGTCCACCTTTCACGGTGGCCAAATCAGGCGGGATTGCTCCAGAGTGATCAATCTCTACTTTATTGAGATAGGCAATGGCAAACGGAATCTTGAAAAGCCTGATTGTGTTGACTTTTCCCTCCCTCTTATACTCAAAGGAGTTAAGGATAAGTTCAGCTTAAGTTTCTTTTCAGCCTTTCTCTTTCTGTTTTGGGCTTGAAGCATGTTGCTGATTGTTGCATTATTTCTCCAAGGTCACCTACATCTAAACAAGAGCAAGTTGCTTGACAAGTTAGAGCAGGGGTCTCCAACCCTGGCTACTTTAAGACTAGTGGACTTCAACTCACAGAATTCCTCAGCTGGCTGAGGAACTCTAGGAGTTGAAGTCCACAAGTCTTGAAAGTAGCCAAGGTTGGAGACCCCTGTGTTAGAGTACAAATCACACGGGCATAGATGTCCTCTTAACAGATGGAAATACCTATATGGGGACTGTTATTACTATCCACATCAGGTGTTAGATAAAATATATTTTGGTCACTCCTTCATATATGAAGGGAAACTTTACAAGATCTGACTGGTTTCAAACCAGAAATCAGCCAGGAACTCAGCAAGTTGAAATAAATAACAATTTAAAATAAATAATTACCCAAGTGTTATGAAACACTGCAGATTAAGAAAGTACTTCAAACTCTGCTATAGGAAGCTAATTTGCTACTCTGTAGAAAAGTAGCTACATATTCTTGTGTTTTCACATAGCAAAGATTAATTAGAGATTTTGATGGCAAACCCAATCAGTTAAATGAAAATCTCACTCATGCGCAGTTTGCTGGATGTTGAATGTTATTTGGGGTCCATGTTATGTCGGAAAACATATTTTTCCAAGCATGGTGCCCAATATTGAGCTAATCCTTTTAAAGATATGTTGCAGCTACACTGAAGATTGAAGGTGACATCTTAGAAGGTGACATCTTAGTACAAGTGTTTTTTTTTTTTAAAGCTCCTTTCAAACAGCAATGAAATACTTTGGATGGAAGGTTTGATCTTTAAACAAACCCATCAAAGAACTGGGCCTTTAAAACATACTCTTATTAACATACTCTTATTTTTTCATTCAATGTATCACCAGTTTAGCTTAATTCCTGATGGGCATGTCCATGTGATTTTTGCCAACAGTCCTCCTCTTCCCTCCATAGCTTTAGCATTCCTGTTGGTCTTGCCTTCAAATATTGAACGTGAAATATGTGCTGAGGTTTTTGACATCAGCCAGTTGAATGGATGCTACTCTTACCTTTATTGATTTCAGTGAAATCTTATTTTAGCATACTGTATTAATTGTGGGAAGGGATGTCAATTTTTTTTTTGTAAATATCCACTGGGCTTGGGAGGTGTACAATGCGGGCCTGAGCCTGTGCTAGGTCTCCCAAGCCTCCCCCATTTCGGAGGCATCTTGTGCTCCACTTAACAACTGCAGTGGGAAGAGCAGGGATTGGGGTTGTTAAGTAAGGCGATTACATGGGCACCTCATTTAACAGCCATCATGGTTTGTGACCAGAGTGGGTAGGCTCCATTATGGTTGTAAGTCGAGGACTACCTGTATTTAGAATAAAGAAAAGAGGAAAAAAAAGAAGAAAAAGGCAGAAAAAGAAGTGAAATAGAGTTAGTTTCTGATTTTCTTAATAGCAGTTGTAGATAAAGATTCTTTTACGCTATGATGACAGCATGACTTACATTTTTTTGTATAATCTATTTTCTAATCATTTTATTTTCATGAAAAAATATTTATATTTATAATCAACATTAAGTTTAGATAATATCTTTTCTCTGATCGAAGCTGTCAATTTGATCACATCAGAAGTCCCATTTGCATCCATTCCTCTACTGTGGATAATGTTGATTTCCCCCCCCCCCTCCCCTTGGTGGATATAATCTCCCTGCAGGCATCATTTATAAAAAACAGTTCCATGGCTTTTTCTGAAATGTTTATTGATCAGTCCCAAAAGCAAAGTGTCTAGTTTTAATTATATAGTAATCTTTAAAATCTTCTGGATTAATGCATGTAGTTTAGTCCAATTTTTTTTAAAAAAATTGCACATCCGTCAAGCATAATAAAACGTATCCTCTTGTTTACATTTCCAACATAAATTTCAAGTACCTTTATATATTCTAGACAATATTTCCAGTGACATATACCAACAATTTATCATTTTATAAAAATTATCTTTAAGATTATAACAATGTAAATTTCAGTCTTTTGAACCACAAAGCATTTCACTCTGAGGGGATAGAATATTGATGGTTCCTGGGTTTGATAGGAAAATCATAAAAATTCAGACCCACTTACATCATTATGGATCTATCCATCATTATTCGAAGTAAAACAGAGAAAATGTAATCTGGTAACTTGGAAGCATTTTTAGCTTGAAACTGTTTCAAGCCCAAAACACTTCCAAATAGCCTGTCTTAATTTGAAATGATGTATAGACTCTTAAACCTGATTTATCTTCTAACCGTCCCTTATTCCATATTTATTATAAATCTCAGTTTCATTGCAAATCTGTTATATACCGCAAAATCAATTTAGAATTTTTTTAACGTGCCATAAATAAACATATCCATGTTAGCTCATTGGTTTTGCTTTTTTTTTTCCAGGTTTTTGTATTTGGACTAAATTGCAGTAACTGTCTGGGAACTGGAGATAATCAGAGTACTATTGTACCCAAAAAACTTGAGAGTTTATGCGGAAAGAGGATCTGCAGTCTTAGCTATGGAAGTGGGCCGCATGTGATCCTTAGTACAGAAGGTGGGGAACTTTTTCTGAGTAGTATTAGAGGCACCTGATTCTTACTTAGGGAATTGGAGCATGCAAAATGGTTGTAATGAGGAAAATTTGCTTCTGTCAGTGGGGCCCATCATCTTGGTGTCACTTTTCTTCCCCTCAGCTAGGCAGTACAGATCTTTTGCAGCCATGGGCTACATCTTTTTTGGTGAGTTTTTCTCAGTGACTGAGAGTCATAGGATGATGGCAGCATAATTACATCTCCACAGAAGACAGAAATTGAATGTTCACTCCTTTTTATTTTTATTATTTTAATACTGTATGATGAAACAGCATTCCTTGTGTCAACAAGTATTTAGAAGTTAGGTTTTTAAAAACTAAAGTAAGTGCATGTTTAAAGCCTGTTGAAAGTTTAATTTGCCATCATGCTGGATAACATGCTCATTTGTGTTCCTTTAATTGATAAATTATATCCCATCAAGTTGCTGTCAACTCTTTTCAACCAATAGATTTTCTGCAAGACCATTTTTCTCCCACCCAGCTCCAGATCTTCCAACCATGCACCCATTGTTGTTGTAACTAAGTTCAGCCATCAATTTTGCTTCTGGTCATCCTCTTTCTTCTCTCTTCATTTTTCCCAGCATTATAAACTTCTCAAGAGAGTCAGATCTTTTCATAATGAAGTTCCTTAGTTAAAATAGCTGTAATGTTTAACATGGATAAATGTAGGTGATAAGCTTTAAAGATGGAGAGTATATAATTTCCATTCTCTACGCTAATCTCCATTCTCTAGCTACAGAAAGAATGTGTGTGTTTAATTTTAGCAAATTGTTGTTTAACTTTTTCCCAGTCAAGCAATGCCAATTCATTCAAGTTCTCCAGTATCTCTGCCTTATTGTCCCATAAAACAAGTCATTAGAGAAATGACCATAATAACCATCATAATGAGTAGATAAAGAAGCCAAACCCAATCTACACAACTGATTGGCTCTGTGACCAAGCATAATGATAGTGATTATTGAAATGCAATAATCTTGTTTTGTGTGAGTAGGTGTACAAATGTTGTTGCCTAATTGCATTTTTCACTGTCCTTGCTTTGTTTATTTTTGGGTAGATGGTGAAGTTTATGCCTGGGGACATAATGGATATAGTCAGCTTGGGAATGGGACAACCAACCAGGGTGTGACGCCTATTCAGATTTCTACTAATTTGCTTGTTAAGAAAATAACCGAAGTAGCTTGTGGTTCCCACCATTCTCTTGCATTATCATCTGATGGAGATGTAAGTTCTGTTTTTCTAACTAGCTATTCAGGTTTTTGCTGTTAAGAATGTACTTTTGTTTGGTAAATGTTTGAACATTGTCCTTGAAGAAGGGGTATTGATACTATGATTAATCTGTGTTTTCTTGGTGAAATATTTCAGATTTTATCGTAACAATAAAACTTTGTATATTTATAGAGGAAATAAGCTACTCTTGGCAATCTGATTTCATGGGGGTTTTATATTTTGTACAAGTATTCAGTAGCAATCATAAAAAACAAGATTTCAGGTATAAAAATAGAGGTTGAATGGCCTTTATCTGATTCAGTGCCCAGTGAGACAGTGACTTATTTTCTTTTGGTCTAGTGGAAGCTTTCTGATTCAAAAATGAAACTTGGAATAATGATGCTTGAATTTCCCCTTTGCTTGGGAAATTGTAAGTGCTGAAATTTCTAAATTGTTCAGCTGGATAGAATACATTTTATGGATATACTATACCTGTTTTAGTAAGAAGAGGACCAGTTTCAGGAAAATAGGTGCAGAAATTTGGAACTTGGCTCTTTTAAATTGTGTGGGTATGTGTTTAAGGAATGCGTCTGACTCTGGGAGAACATTTGGAGGCATTGTGGTCTCTTCTGTGAAACTCAGCCTATTTAATTTCATATCTGTCAGGCACTAGAGTTTATTTGTTTTGCATGAAGGGGATAATGTTCCATTTCAAGTCTTGAAAATTACAGTTAAGTTTTGAAGACATTAGATATAATCCTTTGAAAATTGCCTAGTATGAAAGTGCCTAGTATGAAACCTTCGCCAAGGAGATAATTTTTGATATGTAGATCCTGTTGCTAGTTTACCTTTTATCATTGTTCATGAGTTGAAGGCTGTTTTTTGAGTTGACCCTTCCTTCCTTCCTTCCTTCCTTCCTTCCTTCCTTCCTTCCTTCCT